ACGGGGGCGGTGGGACGGGGGGCGGTGGGACGGGGGCGGTGGGATAGGGCGGTGGGACGGGGCGGTGGGATAGGGCGCTATCTGAGTTTTCTTTTAGGTCACGAAAAGTTTTCTCCAATCCACGAAATGCGATCAAGGCCACTCGTTAGGACTTTCTTATCAATATAATGCGAAGGATAATTGCTGATTGTAAAAAAACTTAAAATTGTAGTAGTGAAATTACGTGGTGTTGAATTCGTTGTAGGGACCCGTTTGTCTATTCCAGTTCATCCTTATGACCAACCAGATGACCAACAGATTGACCAACAGGATGAATAAAACAAATATCAACTACGTGACCAACAGGATGAGCGGCATAAAAACAAAACGTTGACCAGCATGATGACCATCATAATGACCAACATAATGACCAACATAATGACCAACATAATGACCAACATAATGATCAACTTAATGACCAACAAAAATGACCAACATAATGACAAACATAATGACCAACATAATGACCAACTTAATGACCAACTTAATGACCAACATGATGACCAACTTAATAAACAACATAATGACCAACATAATGACCAACTTAATGACCAACATGATGACCAACTTAATAACCAACATGATGACCAACTTAATGACCAACTTAATGACCAACATAATGACCAACTTAATGACCAAAATAATGACCAACTTAATGACCAACATGATGACCAACTTAATGACCAACATGATGACCAACTTAATGACCAACTTAATGACCAACTTAATGACCAACTTAATGAACAACATGATGACCAACTTAATGACCAACTTAATGACCAACTTAATGACCAACTTAATTGACCAACTTAATGACCAACTTAATGACCAACTTAATGACCAACATGATGACCAACTTAATGACCAACTTAATGACCAACTTAATGACCAACTTAATGACCAACAGGATGACCAACTTAATGACCAACATGATGACCAACAGGATGACCAACTTAATGACCAACTTAATGACCAACTTAATGACCAACTTAATAACCAACTTAATGACCAACTTAATGACCAACTTAATGACCAACATGATGACCAACTTAATGACCAACTTAATGACCAACATGATGACCAACTTAATGACCAACTTAATGACCAACATGATGACCAACTTAATGACCAACTTAATGACCAACTTAATGACCAACATGATGACCAACTTAATGACCAACTTAATGACCAACATGATGACCAACTTAATGACCAACTTAATGACCAACTTAATGACCAACATGATGACCAACTTAATGACCAACATGAAGAAATACATAATGATCAAACACCAGGACCCGGTGTAAAAAAGCTTCACCCGGTTAGGACCTAGAATATAAAGACAAAAACGTTTACAAAATATTATTGTTGGGTTTATGAGACGACATGAGGCATCACATGAAAGAAAATTGAATGGAATATATGTTTGTAAACTTAATTCTTTAGGCTAACTAAAATAAATGACTACAAATGACATCCGAATAGCATTTAAAAAACACGCAGCGCTGCCATTCGCACCCGGGTCCCATTAGAACAGCGGTTCTCAACCTGTGGGTCGCGACCCCTTTAGGGGTCGAACGACCCTTTCCTAGGGCTGGCCTAAGACCATCGGAAATCGCATATCCTTAACAGTTATGAAGCAGCAAACTAAAATAATTTTTTGGCTGGGGGTCGCCACAGCATGAGGGACTGTATTAAAGGGTCGCGGCATTAGAAAGGTTGAGAACCACTGCATTAGACCAATGTTATTGGGATGCCATTTGTTGTAGTATATTTTAGTTAAACTGAAGAAGTCGGTCTTTCATTTGTTACTTTATTTTGTCTTACAAAGCCTAAAATAATATTTTAAATAGTTTTTTTAATCCCAACCCCTCACTTCTGGTACCCGGGTGCGAATAGGCGCAGCCCATTGAGCATTTTGAGTGAGGGTAGTCGGAGTCTCAGAAGAAAACAAACATTTCTCAATTTTAAAAAAAAAAAATTGTTTTAGATAATTTGATATGCGCCTTCGAGATCCAAGATTAAAATGGTAAATGAAAAGAACAAAGGTAATGGCTCTCGAGGAGGGGAGTGCAAGGCTCAAATTATCTTTATCTTGTTGTTTCCCCCCCCCCCCTTTTTTCAAAATTTGTGACGTCATTTGCCCATTATTTCCGTTAAGGTTTAAGTATATAAGCCGGAATAAAGAGACTAGAGTTAGAGTCATCAGATGAGCGGACGACACACGAGTCTGGAACACATTAAAACATGATCTGCACAGTGTTGGTCTTCGCGTCATGTCTCACGACCTTGACATCAGCTTTAGGGATGCACTTTATGGATTGTCCCGGCAATGACAGTAAGTGTATGACGTGGTTCTGACATGTTTTTGCCTGCTAGCTAGCCTGGTCTACCTGGTAGCTAGGATGGTCTATCTGTAGCTGGCCAGGTAGATGTGGTAGCTTGGCTGGTATACCTCGTAGGCGGGCTCGTACACCGGAGGGGTAGGGGTGGTTCAACTAGTAGTAGAGCCGTCGCGTGACTTTTGGAGGCCCCATGCCACTTTTTGTTTTTGTATCCCCCCCCCCCCATCCCTGCGTTCAGAGTTAATAATAGTTTAAGTTCCCCCCACATTGAGCACCAAATGAAGTTACTTTACTGACCACCAAATGAAGTTACTTTACTGACCACCAAATGAAGTTACTTTACTGACCACCAAATGAAGTTACTTTACTGACCACCAAATGAACCATCCCTGCGTTCAGAGTTAATAATAGTTTAAGTTCCCCCCACACACACATCAAAACGTTAGCCATTTAAATATCAGAGGGATTGCAAGATTTGTTGTGATGGCAAGGTCCACTTGTTGTAGGGCTGGTACAGATAATAGCTCGTATACATCATAGCTGGTACACATCATAGCTCGTACACATCATAGCTCGTGCAGGTCATAGCTCGTACACATCATAGCTGGTACACATCATAGCTTGTATATATCGTAGCTGGTATACATTACAGCTGATATTTTAAGTTAGCTTATGTTGTAGATCCATCAACACAACCCTTATCATTTTGGTGATTATTTCATAGTCACGATTTAAAAAAAAAATACAATTTGGGTAGTAATTGTTATTGGTATTTTTTGTTCATTGATCATTGTAATTCCATTAATTACGTAATTGGCGATTGTTGTAATTCCTATTATTACACAGTTACACATACGCGATTTTGTAATTCTTATTATTACACATTTGCGATTGTTCTAATTCCTATTGATTACACAAATACGATGGTTGTTCTTAATTGTAGGAGGAGCTTTGTACAATTTTAAATTAAGTTTAATAATGATTTTGACTTGGGTTTAGCAATTGTATTGTGTAGCAACAAAAAACCAAACAACAACAACGCATTAACAACAACAACGACAACAACAACAACAACGACAACAACAAAACAACAAATATTTGTAACAAAAGGAAAGCATACAATCAATTCAAACAATCCATTTATACAATTGAATTCGAACAATCAATTCAAACAATCAATTCAAATAATCAATTTTCCACAATAATCCGTAAATGTATATTTTTTAAAGCTATAATAATTATGATTTTTAAAAAGACCTGTTGTTTTCTTAATTATTTGATTTAAAAAATAAAAATGAAATTTGTTTAGTAATCCAGACTAATGAGAAATTTGGCAGTAAATTAATTTGAACAGTGGAATCATGTTCATTTAATATTACGAGCATTTCAAAATAGAACAGATTCAAGATAAGCGAACTACGTGCAGACGAGTTTGTCAACTTTCCAGCAGGTGGCGCTGCCATTACAATCCGATTGTTGTGAACTATGCTCCAGAAATTTAAGACGACATTGAATGCTATGCAATGTTATAAATAGATGTGGATGTGTTTAACTGGCACCCGTGCTGATTTTAGTCAGTGGTGCTATGCCAGGATGTGTCTGAAAATGGAAACATTGGGGTGGGGGGATGAAATGATGACATTAAAATTGTATAATTAAATGAGTCTTTTTACTACTCAGAAGCCTGTCAGTTAAACTGACACCAAAGCCATATATTCATTTAAAACATTACTAAATTGTCAGATTTGATGTTAAAGCAGTAGCATCGTGAATTGAATGTGTTGAATGACTTTCTCTGTCAAGATGTCTTGGGTTTATTGAGGAATTCAATGTGTGAATGTCTTTCTCTGTCCACATTGTCTTGTTTTTATTGAGGAATTCAATGTGTGAATGACTTTCTCTGTCCACATGTCTTGTGTTTATTAAGGAATTCAATATGTGAATGTCTTTCTCTGTCCACATGTCTTGTGTTTATTGAGGAATTCAATATGTGAATGTCTTTCTCTGTCCAGATGTCCTGGGTTTGTTGAGGAAATGCTGCACCAGTGACCAGCTGCCGAAAGGCTGTGAATGTTTTGACATCTCCTCAAGCACGGACTTCACCAACACCCTCTTCCACAAAGCCCAGTGCCCGGCGGAAATCAACGTCGCCTTCAACCTTTTCACCCGGGCACACCGAAACAGTGCGACCAGGATCAGGGTACGTCAGGGGGTCGGATGGCAGGGTAGGTCAGGGGGTCGGATGGCAGGGTAGGTCAGGGGGTAGGATGGCAGGGTAGGTCAGGGGGTCGGATGGCAGGGTAGGTCAGGGGGTCGGATGGCAGGGTAGGTCAGGGGGTCGGATGGCAGGGTAGGTCAGGGGGTCGGATGGCAGGGTAGGTCAGGGGGTCAGATGGCAGGGTAGGCCAGGGTATCGGATGGCAGGGTAGGTCAGGGGGTCGGATGGCAGGGTAGGTCAGGGGTCAGATGGCAGGGTAGGCCAGGGTATCGGATGGCAGGGTAGGTCAGGGGGTCAGATGGCAGTGTAGGTCAAAGGGTCGGATGGCATTGGTAGGTCACGGGGCCGGATGGGTCAATTTCGAGATCTCTGACAGCCTAGATAAATAGCTGAGACCGTCATTCCCAGTTACTTAGATCTATCAAATGGGATTGCCGTGAATACAAGAACTAAGCTACTTAAATATTTTTTACAAGTCAAATCTCCATAGCAACAACCACAACAAAAAAAAACAAAACAATAATATCAAAAATTAGAACAACAACAAGAAAAAAAAGACATTCGTTTTCGGATCAATTACCCTGAATTTGCTCTAAACATAATTTGATTTAGATTGGCAATCAGAAACCAGTCTGTGCAGAAAATAACTGGACGCTTCCGTAAATGTGTGGTTGTCGAAGATTCTATTATTACAAGAGTGATAACTCGGGGAATGACCTGTCAATGGTAACAAACTGTCCAGAGTCTTCCGGGGAGGGGCTGCCAGACGGGACATGACACATTGTTGTTTAATAATTCTATTTCCGTCAGTCAGGGGATGCCAATATTAGGAGCAGCCCTTACAACGGTGCCAAGAAGACCGTCTTTGTGGCTCACGGCTTCACGGACTTTGGGTCTGCTCCCTGGTGTCTGGGCATGAAGAATGCACTCTTGGATGCGGTAATTCTTTTCTTGTTCTATGTATCATGTAATCTCTTGTACAAACTAAAACCTTAATCTTCAACTTGCTGATATATTTCCTACACATTTCAGCCCAATAAACTTTCTGCTGCATATTTCAGGGAATAAAACCTTATGAAAAAAATTGAATTACTCTCTAAACCACCTCATCAGAAAATAAAGGCTTGTAATTAATCTCTAAACCAACTCATCGGAGAATAAAACCAAATAGTTACTCTGTAGGCCATCTCATCAAAAAATAAACGCTTTTAATTATTAATCTCTACACCAACACATCAGAGGATTAACACTTACAATTACTCTCTAAACCAACTCAAAGAATAAACACTTATAATTGCTCTCTAAAACCAACTCAGAGAATAAAATCTTATAATTACTCGCTAAACCAACTCAGAGATAAAAATCTTATAATTATTCTCTAAACCAACTCAGAGAATAAAATCTTATAATTACTCTCTAAACCAACTCAGAGAATAAAATCGTATGATTACTCTCTAAACCAATTCAGAAAATAAAATCTTATAAATACTCTCTAAACCAACTCACACACACACCCATATTTCCCCATCACAACCAACGTATCCACCAAGTGTGTCCACCTTGTTGCCTGCCAATGTCTTCCTTGCAGACGGCTGGGCCACGACACCAATCCTCAGAGTATAAGCGCACCGCTCACGTCCAAAGAAAGCACACGGCGAGAAAAAGCAAAATTAACCCAAGACATACTAAGACCCAAACCAACGTGCGGCACACGTCCGGGAAAGCGTTTCCAGCCACAGGTGGGGGCTGACAGGATACCTGCGTACTCATCGTCGCCTGTGAAGGACGAACAACAACAACAACAACAACAACAACAACAACAACAACAACAACAACAACAACAACAACAACACATCACTGTAGAGACCGACCGAAAGTGATTTTCTGATTTCAGCCGAAGCCGAAAATAGCCCGAACGTTTAAAATGACTTTCGGCCGAAACCAAAAATAGTCCGAAAGTTAAAAAATGACCTTCGGCCGAAACAGAAAAAAGACCGAAAATTAAAAATGAATTTCGGCCAAAGCCGAAGCCCAAACCGAAGCCGAAACCGAAAATGAAATATTTAGATATTTTGAAAATCTTACAGCATGCATTCTGCATACAGCGAAAATGATGGGGGAAAGTATAAATATTTACATTCTTTTTATAACAAATGAGATAATCGTGAATACTAATAAATAAATATCTAATATAGGGGTCTCAAACTGGCGGCCCGCGAGCCATTTGTGACCCGCAAGACGATATTTTGCAGGTCACTAGATGATAGAAAAGTTTAGTGTTAATGCGCCGGCCCGTTTCCCCCATTCTCATATCTATAACGTGACTCTCCGCGACGGTTTGAGTCGAATCTCACCGACTAGTCAAATTCTGATTTTTTAAAAATGTTTCTATATTTTTTTGTATGATTATAATATAAGAACCGTTTTAAACTCGGAATAATTTTTTTTTTAATTTTATAGCTTTTTATGAGACAAACATGGCAAAGAGTGCGGCTTTGAGAAAAATTTTGAAAAGTAAATTGCTTCCTCACTCAAGCCAAAGCTGCTCAGCTGTGTAAAAAGAAGCGCTGTCAGGTCTCTGGCAACAGTGAGTAGGTGGAAGAAAGTGAATCCTAGTTCTTGAGAACCCTTAATATTTTTATTGTTATTTATAAAGGTTGAGCATATTGTAACATTTGTTATCGCTTTTTTTGTGGAATACTTGATGCGGCCCACTCTCATTCAGGCACTACCTCCTGCGGCTCCCCTGATGTTTTGAGTTTGAGAACCGTGATCTAATGAATACTTTGGATGTGACCAATTTATTATAAAAGTATTAAAAGTAATTTTAATTGATTTACAATTTTTAAAAATTAGTATGGTACGAGAAAATTTGGCAAAAATTGGAGGGTGGGGGAAATTAATGCAAAATAGACTCTTGAGTGCCTTTGCTTTTGTAATATACTTACAGCCTAGAACATATACCTACAACAATTATTGTGGCTCTATTAGAGCCAATTGCCACCTAAATATATGTTATTGCACAATGTTTTGCTGTTTTCGTAATACTAATGCTTTGTGTTTTCATCAATAGCTTGCAAGATTTCACTGTATTAATATTCAACCTAGTAATAACACACTAGTATTTCCGTGCTGGTGACGTAATTATTTCGTTCGGAGACTAACCTGAGTCACCCCCATTGGTGGTGAAAATGATTTTTTTAAAACCCTGTCTCTTAAAATTGTTGTTCTGATCATGGTTCTAAAAGATCGCTTAATTTGTTCTTAAAGGTCTCTTATTTGTTTTAAAAGATCGTTTAGTTTGTTCATAAAGATCCCCTGGTTTGCTGTTAAAGATCGCTTAGTTTGTTGTTAAAGATCGCTTAATTTTTTCTTAAAGATCGCTTAGCTTTGTATAAAGATCTTTTTGTTTGCTCTTAAAGATCATTTAGTTTTTTTAAATAGATCTTTTAGTTTGTTATTAAAAATCGTTTAGTTTGTTCTTAAAGATCGCTTATTTTGTTGTTGAAGATCGCTTAGTTTTTTCATAAAGATCGCTTTTTTGTTCTTAAAGATGATTGATTTTGTTCCTTAAGATCGATTAGTTTGTTCTTAAAAATATTTTAGTTTGTTCCTAAAGAACATTTAGTTTTATTATAAAGATCGCTTAGTTTATTCTTATAAATCATTTAGTAAACTATTTAAGATCATTTGTTTTGTTCTTAAAGATCATTTAGTTCGTTCTTAAAAATCGATTAGTTTATTCTTTAAGATCGTTTAGTTTGTGTTATTAAAGATAGTTTAGATTGTTCTTAAAGATCGCTTAGTTTGTTGTTAAATATCGTTTAGTTTGTTCTCCTAAGATCGCTTAATTTGTTCTTAAAGATCGCTTTATTTGTTTTTAAAGATCACTTAGTTTGTTGTTAGATATCATTTTCGCTGAGCATTAGATGACCGAAAACCTGATACACTTTCGGCCGGATGGCCGAAAGTTTAAGTCAATTTCGGCCGAAACCGAAAAAAACGAAAGTTAACTTTTCTCTTTCGGCCCAAACTGAAATTAAGCCGAAAGTTATTTTTTCAGTTTCGGCCGAAATAGAAACTTGGCCGAACGTAATAAAATGGTCACTTTAGGTGCCGAAACCGAAGCCGAAATTCGGTCGGTCTCTACATCACTGTATTTTTCCAGTGAGCAGTAAAGCTGGTATGAGGCTCCTTCTCATTAACACCAATGGAAGCACTCCTTCTCAAAACACAAATAGACGGACTCCTTCTCACAGCACCAATAGATAGACTCCTTCTCATAGTTCCAATGGACGGCCTCCTTCTCATACAACCAAAGACTGGACTCCTTCTGATACCACCAAAGAATGGACTCCTTCACATAGCACACAAAAATGGAACCTTACTTATAGCACCAATGGAAGGTCTTTGATTATACAAGGTTTACATGCAGCTCCACCCAACAGAAAGACATGACGTAGAATCATAAATTCAATGATCTTATAAATAGATTATTAAACAAAGAAAACGCAATTTAAAAAATCAACTGCGGTTTATCTCTCCTTTATTAGTTACATTTATGTCATTTGTAACATTTTTTTCAGTTTGTTCAATTTGTTACTTTACGCTTGTAACATTACTTGCTTAAATGTCTTGCTGATGACATGCACGTGTCTCGTCGGTCAGGAAGACTTGAATGTCATCCTAGTGGACTGGCAGGCAGGAGCCAAAGGACCCAACTACTACCAGGCTGTGGCGAACACACGAGTCGTTGGCGCCATGATCGGACGTCTCATCCAGGACTTTCACACTGTCGCCAATGCTAACTTCGGGGTAAGCCAGGAGTTTGGGGTGCATGTGTTTGATAGATGCACACTTACTTCGGGGTAAGCCAACAGTTTAAGGTGCATGTGGCTGGTCATTAACACTTAACATTTATCTTAAAACTAGACAAATGACACATTTTATCACACTGGCTGATTTTTTATGCCATAGATGAGCTTCATATCATTGATGGGTAGACAGCAGACGAGAATTTGAAACAAATTACAGTGTTATTATATTTGGTATTGCACTTGAAATAACGTGACTTTTCCTTACGCAACTATTTAATGTTGCATTTTGTCATGGTGCTATCATGGCCTTTCTATTTCAGAACTTCCATCTGATTGGTCACAGCTTAGGAGCTCAGATTATGGGATACGCTGGAAAAGAAATTTTCCGCTTAACCAATCAAAAAGTGGGTCGTATCTCAGGTAGGAATAGTTGAATTGTATGCGCCAATACAACAAACAAACAACAACAGTACACACACATCCGCATCTTAAACGTGTACGTGTGTTCGTTTACGGTGCAACTCATCAGACCACAACTCGCCAGACCACAACTCGCCAGACCACAACTCGCCAGACCACAACTCACCAGACCACAACTCGTCAGACCACAACTCGCCAGACCACAACTCACCAGACCACAAGTCGCCAGACCATAGCTCGCCAGACCACAACTCACCAGACCACAACCCGCCAGACCACAACTCGCCAGACCACAAGTCGCCAGACCACAACTCGCCAGACCACAACTCGCCAGACCACAGCTCGCCAGACCACAAGTCGCCAGCCCACAACCCGCCTAACTCGCCAGACCACAACTCACCAGACCACAACTCGCCAGACCACAACTCGCCAGACCACAACTCACCAGACCACAACCCGCCAGACCACAACTCGCCAGACCACAACTCGCCAGACCACAACTCGCCAGACCACAACTCGCCAGACCACAGCTCGCCAGACCACAAGTCGCCAGACCACAACTCGCCAGACCACAAGTCGCCAGAATACAGCTCGCCAGACCACAGCTCGCCAGACCACAGCTCGCCAGACCACAAGTCGCCAGACCACAACTCGCCAGACCACAACTCGCCAGACCACAACTTGTTCCCAGAAGTGAAGAGGAATATATGTTGATTAGTTGAAGACATTGGTCTTTCGAAGGAGGAAATTATGTTCACATTTGAACATACTTGTGCACTCGTAAAGGAATGTTTGATGTCTATTGTTATGAAAGGAAAGTGTACTGTAGCAACGGAATGGGAAATGATCATGAAATCGGTTTTCAGCAGGTGCTGCATTCCCCCCCCCCCCACAGCTGGAGCTAAGCACCGTCACAGCTGGAGCTATACTCCGCCACAGCTGGAGCTATTCACCGTTACAGCTGGGCCTATTCCCCGTTAAAGTTGGAGCTATGCAACATTACAGCTGGAACTACGCATCGCTACAGCTGAAACTACGCACCGTCACAGCTGGAGCTAGGCCACATCACAGCTGGAACTATGCACCACCAAGGCTGGAGCTATGCACCGTCAAAGCTGGAGCTATGCACTGTTACAGCTGAAGCTACGCACTGTCACAGGTGGAGCTAGGCACAATCACAGCTGGAACTATGCACCGTTGACAAACACAGGATTCGGGAGCTTCAGTACATTTAAATATTTTGTCTCTAAGTTTTGTTGTTAAAAATTTTTTATTACAATATTATAACACAGTTAGATATTCAATGAATAAGCATTTAATTCCCCACTAATAATTTTACTGAAAAAAATGTGTCCACACAAACGCCATTGTTTTTGGTTTCTTTTTTGATCGAAAGGCCTTGACCCCGCTGGTCCCGGCTTTGAGAACTACAGTGACTTTGTGAGAATCGACAAAAGTGATGGTCAATTTGTGGATATCATGCACACAGACGCAGAGCTATTACTTAACTCAGGTACACATGAATGTCTTTAATTAACTCATGTACACAGATGCAGAGCCATTACTTAACTCTGGTACACATGAATGTCTTTAATTAACTCATTACAAAAAATATCATTTACTTAACCCAGGTACATACATAGAAAAGTCTCTTGTGTAAACATTACTTGAGATACCAATTAGATTTCATCAGCCATTGCCAAACCTTACAAAAAAAAACCACAGACCAACAATGAGTCCAATCCATTCAATTAACAGCCCAAAATTCATGCAGAGCAATGTATACACTCCAACATTCACGCATACCCCCTCAATAAACACTGTCCACCAGCTACACCAACCGCTAAATAAACACATCCAACATTCATGCAACCCACCCCCCCCCCCCCCCNCCCCAATTCTATCAACAGTCCAACTTAATGTCAACCCACTTAACTGAAGATTGTTGATCATTTCTCGCCCAGGTTTTGGAACCCGTTTCTCTATCGGTCATGTTGACTTCTACCCTAACGGTGGGGTCCACCAGCCTGGCTGCCCACCAGAGACCTACGGCATCCTCTCCATGATCAGCTTCGAATGTAATCTTGTTATTTTTTTTGTGGTGGGGTTGGCTGTTGAAGTTGATAGATATCAGATCAATGCTAACTTTAAGTGTGGTGGAGTTGGCTGTTGAATTTGATAAATATTAGATCAACAGTAACTTTAAAAGTGGTGTTGTTGGCTCTTGAAGTTGATACATATAATACCAACAGTAACTTTAAATATGTAGTGGTTGGCTGTTGAAGTTAATACATATAAGGGCAACAGTAACTTTATTTATGGTGGGGTTGGCTGTTGTAGTTGATAAATATTAGATCAACAGTAACTTTAAAAGTGGTGTGATTGGCTATTGGAGTTGATACATAACAGATCAACCGTTATTGACTTCCAATGTTACACATAAAAGGAGTATGCTGAAGCTCCGATGATAGTCAGTGCTCTTACCCATGTCATAAATATATATCGCCTTCATAAAACTCATAATCAACATAACTTAGATACGTCACTTTGTCACCTTCCAACCCCCGCCCCCAAAATCTAACAGCAGAAAAGAATACTGGAGCATGCAGCCATGGTCGAGCTGTCGACTACTTCACCTACTCCATCAACAGATGTCGCTACAACCCACCCAACGGTGACGCATCCTGCACGATGGGATACCACGTCAGCAGGAGTTGCAAGGGAGACTACCACCCCCACACTACCAGCACAGTGCCATTTTGTTAGATTGAGCAGATTTTGTTTCAATAAAAAACGCGAAATATCCTGGTAGCCGAATGTGTCTGAACGTCAAAGGTTAATGTGTTTGTCTGAATATCAGAAGTTACGTGTGTCTGAATATCAGAAGGTATGTGTGTCTGAATAACTTAAGTTATGTGTGTCTGAATATCTGAAGTTATGTGTGTCTGAATATCAGAAGTTATAATATGTGTCTGAATACAGAAGTTATATGTGTCCGAATATCCGAGGTTACAAGGGAGATTACCTTGCAACTGAGCTCAAGATCCACTTAGTTAAAAGGATGTAGAAATGTTGTGTTTTTTTCCAAATCCAATCCCTAGCAACGCCGGGTACATTGGCTAGTTATGAACGTGTCCTGTTATAACCTTCCTGTTGAATGGCAGACTTACAGACATCACCTTCCTGTTGGATGGCAGACTTACAAACATCACATTCCTGTTGGATGACAAAGTTACAAACATCACCTTCCTGTTGAATGGCAGACTTACAAACATCACCGTCCTGTTGGATGGCAGACTTACAAACATCAACTTCCTGTTGAGTGGCACACTTACAAACATCACCTTCCTGTTGGATGACAAACTTACAAACATCACCTTCCTGTTGGATGACAGACTCACAAACATCACCTTCCTGTTGGATGGAAGACTTACAAACATCACCTTCCTGTTAGATGGAAGACTTACAAACATCACCTTCCTGTTGGATGACAAACTTACAAACATCACCTTCCTGTTGGATGACATACTTACAACATCACCTTCCTGTTGGATGACAAACTTACAAACATCACCTTCCTGTTGGATGACAAACTTACAAACATCACCTTCCTGTTGGATGACAAACTTACAAACATCACCTTCCTGTTGGATGACAAACTTACAAACATCACCTTCCTGTTCGATCGCAGATTTACAAAATCACCTTCCTGTTGAATGGAAGACTTACAAACATCATCTTCCTGTTGGATGGAAGACTTACAAACATCACTTTCCTCATGGATGACAAACTTACAAACATCACCTTCCTGTTGGATGGCAGACTTACAAACATCACCTTCCTGTTGGATGAAAAACTTACAAACATCATCTTCCTGTTGGATGGCAGACTTACAAACATCACCTTCCTGTTGGATGAACAACTTACAAACATCATCTTCCTGTTGGATGGCAGACTTACAAACATCACTTTCCTCATGGATGACAAACTTACAAACATCACCTTCCTGTTGGATGGCAGACTTACAAACATCACCTTCCTGTTGGATGAAAAACTTACAAACATCATCTTCCTGTTGGATGGCAGACTTACAAACATCACCTTCCTGTTGGATGAACAACTTACAAACATCATCTTCCTGTTGGATGGCAGACTTACAAACATGCCCTTTCTGTTGGATGGAAGACTTACAAACATAACCTTCCTGTTAGATGGAAGACTTACAAACATCACCTTGCTGTTGGATGACAAAATTACAAACACCACCTTCCTGTTGGATGGCAGACTTACAAACATCACCTTCCTGTTGGATGACAGACTTACAAACATCACCTTCCTGTTGGATGACAGACTTACAAACATCACCTTCCTGTTAGATGGAAAACTTACAAACATCACCTTCCTGTTAAATGGAAGACTTACAAACATTACCTTCCTGTTGGATGGCAGACTTACAAACATCACCTTCCAGTTGAATGGCAGACTTACAAACATCACCTTCCAGTTGAATGGCAGACTTACAATCATTACATTCCTGCCGAATAGCACGCTATTCAAATAGCACGTTATTCTAACAAATAAGATATTTATAGCCACTTTATTGACCACGTGACTTTGAGTAACTGAGATCCACATGATTTGTTGAACTTAGATTGCAACCTGCTTGCTTTGAATTAAATTAAATAGTTGACATGGTTGTTAGGAATGATTGTACAGGCAGGCTGTTAGATTGAGTCGATGGAATGATTGTACATGCGGACTGTTAAATTGAGTTGATGGAATGATTGTATATGTAGACTGTTGGATGAGTTGATGGAATGATTGTACATGCAGAAGTGTAAGATTGAGTTGATGGAATAATTGTACATGCAGACTTGTTAGATTGAGTTGATGGAATGATTGTACAGCCAGACGTGTTAGATTGAGTTGATGGAATGATGGTACAGGCATACATGTTAGATTGAGATGATGGAATGATTGTACAGGCAGACGTGTTAGATTGAGTTGATGGAATGATTGTACAGGCAGAAGTGTAAGATTGAGTTGATGGAATGATTGTACAGGCAGACGTGTTAGATTGAGTTGATGGAATGATTGTACAGGCAGACGTGTTAGATTGAGTCGATGGAATGATTGTACATGCAGACTGTTAGATTGAGTTGATAGAATTATTGTACATGGACACTGTTAGATTGAGTTGATGAAATTATTGTACATGCAGACTGTTAATTGAGTTTATGGAATGATTTTGCATGCAGACTGTTAGATTGGGTTAATAGAATGATTGTACATGGACACTGTTAGATTGAGTTGATGGAATTATTATATATGCAGACGTGTTAGATTGAGTTGATGGAATGATTGTACATGCATACTGTTAGATTGAGTTGATGGAATGATTGTACATGCAGACTGTTAGATTGAGTTGATGGAATGATTGTACATGGACACTGTTAGATTGAGTTGATGGAATGATTGTACAAGCAGACTGTTAGATTGAGTTGATGGAATTATTGTACATGCAGACTGTTAGATTAAGTTGATGGAATGATTGTACATGCAGACTCTTAGATTGAGTTGATGGAATGATTGTACATGCAGACTGTTAGATTGAGTTGATGGAATGATTGTACATGCATACTGTTAGATTGAGTTGATGGAATGAATGTACATGCAGACTGTTAGATTGAGTTGATGGAATGATTGTACATGCAGACTGTTAGATTGAGTTGATGGAATGATTGTACATGCAGACTGTTACATTGAGTTGATGGAAGATTGCAACGGCAGACTTGTTAGTTTCAGTTGATGGAACGAGAGACAGACACATCTAAATAGATATGATCATAACACAATAACAAAACTCCAAATGTTGCGCACAGTAAAGAATTTAATTTTCATATGTAAAGCCAAAGAAGACATGCTGTAAGATGACATGCTGTAACTGTAAGATGACATGCTGTAAGATGTCATGCTGTAAAATGCCATGTGTTCCAAAAAAACAAAGTTTGAACATACCAAAATCTCAGATGTACACCAGGGGTGTTTAGACAAGGGAGAAGAAACAGTATCTTCCAATCTATCTGACTTAGTGGGGAGGGATGGTGGAAGGAAGCAGTATCTTCTATTCTATCTGACTTAGTGGGGAGGGGTGGTGGAAGGAAGCAGTATCTTCCAATCTATCAGACTTAGTGGGGAGGGGTGGTGGAAGGAAGCAGTATCTTCCAATCAATCTGACTTAGTGGGGAGGGGAGGTGGATGGAAGCAGTATCTTCCAATGTATAAGACTTAGTGGGGAGGGATGGTGGAAGGAAGCAGTATCTTCCTATCAATCTGACGTAGTGGGGAGGGGTGGTGGAAGGAAGCAGTATCTTCCAATGTATAAGACTTAGTGGGGAGGGGTGGTGGAAGGAAGCAGTATCTTCCAATCTATCTGACTTAGTGGGGAGGGGTGGTGGAAGGAAGCAGTATCTTCCAATCTATCTGACTTAGTGGGGAGGGGTGGTGGAAGGAAGCAGTATCTTCCAATGTATAAGACTTAGTGGGGAGGGGTGGTGGAAGGAAGCGGTATCTTCCAATCTATCTGACTTAGTGAGGAGGGGTGGTGGAAGGAATAACACCCCCCCCCCCCAAATTGTCTCTGAATTTCTCTAAGTTACAAATTAAGTAAGGAAGGGAAAAATACAATTAATTATTATTGTATAGATAATTATTTAAAAAACATTCTTTTGGAAAAAAAAAAATTGGGGTGGGGGAGGGTGGCTTTATTTTCCTTATGGTACAGTAAAAGTTGTGGGTTTTTTTTTTTGTTCTTTGTCCGCCCGGGCTTAAAACTCCAGACCTGGAGTAAGGAATGATACATTTTATATAGTGGATTACACACACACAGACACTTGCACACACACACATGCACGGACACATACACTTGAACACACACAACTACACACACACACACACCTACATACACTTGCACACACACACAACAGACACACACACCTACACACACTGGCACACAAGCAGACACACACCCACTTTCAAACACTCAGAGACTCACCTACACACACACTTGCAACACACATATACACACAACAGACACCTACACACAGACGCACACACCTACACACACACTTGCACACATACCGACCCACACACATCTACACACAAACTTGCACACACCCACCTACACACTTACAGACACACGAACCAACACACTTACAGACACACAACAGACGCACACCTACACACACGCACACACCTACACACACACTTGCACACACACTGACACACACACCTACACACAAACTAGCACGCACACACCTACGCACTTACAGACACACGAACCAACACACTTACAGACACACAACAGAAACACACGTACACACACGCACACACCTACACACACACTTGCACACGCAGACACAGACATACACACCTACACACACACTTGCACACACACTGACACACACACCTACACACAAACTTGCACGCACACACCTACGCACTTACAGACACACGAACCAACACACTTACAGACACACAACAGACACACACCTACACACCTACACACACGTACACACCTACACACACACTTGCACACGCAGACACAGACATACACACCTACACACACACTTGCACACACACAGAGACACACACCTCACCTACACACATGCATACACAAAGACACACGCATGAACGGCCAGCTAAAATTCATTTCTTTTTTAATAATCCTCTGTTTTGATAATTTGATTTGCTGAACTTCTCGAAGATTTATCGATCCGTTAGCGAAATTGTAATCGTCTGTTATCAATATTAGT